AGACTGTACCATTGTCTCAACAATCCTGGTCTGTCCCCTGCACTTATACAACACAGGTGCATCGTGAGGTGGGTAGAAAAGCAGGGGCAACCTTCCCTATTCATATTATGGGTTTGCTCATAGATTCCCAAAGGCTTCTGGACCCTGCTGGTGAGGCTTATTATATGATAGAATACCTCAGTCTGGGGATGGGGGAGGGATGGGGAAGGGGGCCCTTGGGAGAAAAAAGAGGCAAAAAAGAAATGAGTTAACACTCACTTCCTTTTTTTAAATATTTCATTTATTTATTTATGAGAGACACAGAGAGAGAGGCAGAGACACAGGCAGAGGGAGAAGCAGGCTCCACCTGCAGGGAGCCCGACGTGGAACTCGATCCTGGATCCCCAGGATCAGGCACTGGGCTGAAGGCTGCGCTAAACCGCTGAGCCACCAGAGCTGCCCAACACTCACTTCCTTTTGAAACCAGTAAATGCTGGGGTATGAGGAGCACCTTGGAAGGTATTGCAGGAGTATGAATGAATCCGACTGGGATCACATGATTGGACTAGGAGTCAAGTCTTTATGATCCCCCCGCAAGAGTAGGTATACAGAGGTGCCTTGGACTTTGACAGGTCGGCTGCAGTGTTTATGGCATTCTAGTGCTCATCCCAGGGGAAGGGAAGCTGTTCTTTGTCAAGATGTGCTGTCTGCTGGGCCTATAGGTAACACTTACAAACAAAAAGTAGTGTGGGTCCAAAGAAGGGGAAGAGGTACTGGGATTATGCCCAAATCAATATAAAATTGTCATAAATTTGCATTTCATAAGAAAATGCAAAATATAAAATTACTTATGATGGCTGATGTATTCCTTGGTAACGAGAAAAAAGATAACAAAAGTATTAAAACTTTCTATAAGAACTCCACGCAAAAGTCCTCAGGGACTCTTGCTTAACTAGCCATTTTATGCTACAATTTGCTATTTATATGAATTGTATGCATTCCTCCTGGTGTGACACCAAGCAAATGTCCAGGATCTCAAAGTGGTCCAAAGTAAACAAGTCCAACAATTTTGTGTGGCATTTGGCTGTTCTCCAACACTAATAAGATCTTGGCCAAAGTCATGTAGTGCTGGCTCTTCCAGAATGATCAACAAAGTGTTCTTGATGTTTTAATTGCATGTGATTTCTTGTCAGCAATATAAAGAAGGTCACAAAATCCTGTACCTCTTGTCCCCAATCAAGAAGATCTTGGCACCATCAGCAGATCCAGCTTCTGACAGCTATAGTGCACTCATGCATCTTAAGGATGCCCGGTGGGCAAATGGCCAGTTGAGTTAAAGTCAGGGGGTACTATGTCAGATTCACAGCTTGTAAATGGAATTAGCTTAATTCAAATTTTTTCATTTGGCAAGCTTGAGCACAAAATGCCTGGGAGGCATGGATAAATGATGTTTCTCGTTCCTAGAGAAGATGTTGCTTTATAACCCCATGGACCACAGATGTCTCCATGGGGTGTAGACAATCAGTTACGAAAATATGCCCAAGAGTATGTATATTTATACAACCTAACTGGATAAAATCTGCCCATGGTGCTTTGTCTATCAGGGCCCAATGTGTAAAATGGGGGCAATAAGGACTTACTGGCCAAAAAATGATCCATGACTGTCCAACTGTATAAAATCTATGAGTCAAGTCAGATGCCTGGCAAGTCGCAAAAGCCCAGAATCTGCCTGGGCCACATACCAGCCGAACTGCATTCACTGTCCTTGCAGTCAGAGCTTTTTACTGCCGGTGGGTAAAAGTCATTGTAAATCCCATAGCATCAAAAAAAAAAATTCTCATAGCCTCAAAGATGTATAACAGGTGTATATAGAGACCTCAACAAAAGGAAACCAAAGCAAGAAAGTGCCTGAGAGACCAGTGGACCAAGGAATGCACTAAACCTCATAAAATGACTCCTGAGAAGGCTGAAGGATCCAGCTTAGACCAGCTTGTAAAGCCACATCAACAATGCCATCCACATGATGCAGAACATTTAATATCATAAAGATGGGGTCTCCATTGTTAAAGAGCCCTGGCTTGTTCTCATTTGTCCGTTCATTCATTCACTTGCTTGCTCACTTACTGTCTTGCTCCTTCCCTCTCTCCCTCACTCATGCCTTCACTTGCATCACACTCTTCTGATTTTCCTCCTAGGTCTCTGTCCCAGACCCACTTCTCCTTGGTGTCCTCTGAGGGCCAGTGTGTCCAGGGCTTGGTTCTCCATCCACTCCTCTTCTCTAGCTAAACCCACTCCTTGGGCAACCTCATCTCTATCCCACAGCTGTACATTCCATCAGTACCTAGGTGACACTGAAATTTATGCCCCTAGCTCACACCTCTCTCCTATCTCCAAACTGGTATATTCAATTTAATTTCACTTAAAGGAGGAATTTAAAAGACATGCAACAAACAAATCACTGGGAACAACCAGAAAGCCTATCAGATGGATCAAAGTGCTCATGGATCACCCATTTGTCTGAATCATGTGGCTGTGCAATTTATAATCTGAGGGCTCAGAGAAATGCCTGTATAATTTTGAAGTGTTTCGTGTATAGTTTTCATCCATCTATGTTCAACACTGTATTTGTTTATTGTGTATGCAGTCTTCAGATTTTGAATTGGCTGTGTTTCAAACGCTTTTAGTAGATTAATACTCTGTATCCTGGGACATAGTTCTTTGTAGAAGTACAGCTTGGCCATAAGAATCTCTAGCTTGCTTTCAAAATCTCCCTGCCTTTTCCTTGTCATTGACACCAGCTCAGTTCAGGCTCTCAAAGCCTATGTGATTTCATTCCCAACACACTGGTTTCCTGGTCTCTTGCCTGTATTCACTTCAGTCACCCCTGCACACTGCAGCTGTGCTGACCTTCCCAAACAACAGGTGGTTCCCTTCTGCCTATGGAGCTTAACAGAATTATAGACCATCAAGTGGGGCAGGATCGTTTAGAGGAACCTAGTCCAGTGATTGCCAAACACCACTCCAAGGAATGTCCCCATCAGGATCACTGGGAGAGGGGGGGATGCTTGCTACTGGCACAGAAAACCAGACTCATAAATCACTGGGGATGGGTTTTTTGGCTTCATCACTGTCTTAAGTCTTCAGCATCTTGGGGTAGTGTCCAACTCTAAGCCCCATCTGCTAACTCTCCTCTGCAACACCCACCAGTCTTCACTGATGGTGAACTAGCTACTGAATAAAACACCAATTCCATATTTGGGCATCTTTAATGATGCACCAGGAGCTGCCGGGCCCAAGGCTTTTCCTTTCTACACCATAGGGATTCTTCTTACTGACACATCTGGCCTGCCTCCAGTACCTTTCTCTTCTCCACGTTCCTACAGTGACCTGATACTTTTTTTTTTTACCAGGGTTTATCTGGATATGCTTAGTATGTGTCTTTCAGTGACAGTCCCAGGGGGTCAGGGTAGTCTGATGGCCTAGAGTGGGCCAGAGTCTCTTCTGTCTTGCCATCATCTCTTAAATTGAGTCTAGACTAAGATCACTGGAGGTAGCTCACTTTACCAACTTACCTCCTAGGTCAAATTCTTACAAGCTCTTCAGAGTTAAGGTAAAAATTCAATTTTATTTTATGAGGCAGGACACAGACTTTGGAACCAGAATGTCCAGTTTCAAATCCTACCCCTGCCACTTAACTGCTGAGTGTCCCTGGACAAGTCATTTAATCTCTTGGTGCCTCATTTCTAGGTCTATAAAATGGAAAGAATAATGATACCAATCTTACATAATTTTGGTATGGATTAAATATACATGTACTTATATAAAATGTATCTATATCTGTCACTTGGAATAGTACCTGGCACATAATAGTCACTAAGTAAGGGCTACTATTATGATTCTACCAAAAGACAGTGAGAACACCAACTATAATTAAAAGCAGAAATATAATCTTGTTTAGTATAATTCTGGTAACTACTTATTCTCTCTTTTTATTTTTATTTTTTTTAATTTTTATTTATTTATGATAGTCACACACACAGAGAGAGAGAGAGGCAGAGACACAGGCAGAGGGAGAAGCAGGCTCCATGCACCGGGAGCCTGATGTGGGATTCGATCCCGAGTCTCCAGGATCGCGCCCTGGGCCAAAGGCAGGCGCCAAACCGCTGCACCACCCAGGGATCCCTTATTCTCTCTTTTTAAAGCCTAGAAATAATAGAGCTTCTCTCTGGAAAGAGAATTGAGTCTTATTTTTACAATATAAATAGTAAGCTATATTATATTTCAAAAATCTCAGAATGGTCCCTGGTTCTCTAAGAAATAATCTACATACATCTCATAATTTAAAAGTAATTCAAAATTTCTGCTTTGAACACTCATAGATGTACTTGGAATCAGGATATTAATGGCTAGCTACCCAGACATTCAAAAACAAAACTATTTTTGTGTTCATAATAGAACACTGTGGACAGATATTTCAAGCCCAAACCCAAATATCAAGAGACAGATACTGGGAAGCAGAAATCACTTCAGATGGAGATTTTGCTTTCAAAAGTTCTGAGCAGCATTAGGATCTATGTATTTTGGGGCAGGCAAAGACAGACTGTCCATACCATGCACGCAGTAAATTCACGACAGCTTCAATAATATTGAAAGCTTAGAGATAGTATTCCCATTTTATTTGAAATTGAATAAAATGGACACACCAAGGATACACCAAGAGCCAAAATTAGAATAGGAATGGTTAACTTCAGATTTCAAGTTTTGGTCTTGGAAGAAATTTATCTGGACACTATTATAAATTATCTGCATGATACAAATGATCTCAAAGTGTCCTCACTCTCAAGTGTCCAATCCCAATTTACAATATGTCAGACACATCAAATTTGTTATTGTTACACATGTGAAAATATCATATTGAAATGTAGTTTACTCTCTTTTATAACTTGAGGCCTACTCTCCAAATCCTCTTTGATCTGAGAATTCTAAGGAAATCAGAAACTTGAAATCTTGACTGTCCTTACCTGATACTGGGTCAATAGTGAAGGCTTCATGAGATTGAACCAAAGTGATATGAAACTCGAAGTCTACAGGGCAGCTGCATTGCAAAGGGAGAACATGTTTTTTGCTGCAAAAAAAAAAAAAAAAGGAAAAAAATTTCTTTATAACTAGTTCTTTTGATATCAAGTAATAGAGACTCAAGCTACATAAAAACAACCACAACAGGGATTACAGTCAACGCAGGTATAATAATTCCTGGGTGCCACCTATCACACACATGTCCTAGATATTAACTCTTCTGATCCCATGGTCATCCCCACTTACAGACAAGGCAAATGAAGCACAAAAGAGGGTAAGTGTCGTGCCCAAGGTGACTCGGCTAGTTAGTAGCAGAACTGGGATTCAAGGCAGGTCAGCTGTGCCCAGTTTCTAACACTCCAAGTACTTCTGTCCACACTGCCTCTCGAGTACTGTCAGGTTTATCCTGTGAACACTGTGAGTGACAGGGAAAGGGCTTCTCTGCCACACAATGGGCCCCAGGAAACCTAGGGAATGCTGAATGAGCAGGCTTTACACAAAGAAGCCTGAGAAGCCCCTGACCTTTGCAGAGCTTGGACCTAGACCGTGTTAAAGAAACCACACTTCCAGTTGTATTTGACTGCAATGTACCAGAGACTCCTTGTTTGATAGGAAGGCCAACAAGCAGTAGAGGACCTAGACAGCTCCCTCTCCCAAGACAAGTCCGACTTCCAAGTGTGCTTGAAGTTGTCCCTTATGGCACTGTAGGAGTTGCTATGGCTGTGGCATTTCTCAGAGAGCCCTGAGCTTCTCCTCATGTCTTCTCCTTCTATCTAGGGGGCCAGAGTTTGCAGGATGAGTGAGGTATGGAGAAGCTGAGTTCTCTAGTTGTCACTTGGCATCCCACAGACACAGAGCTGGGACAGGTGACCAGAACTCCTTTCAGCAGCTGGATACTGAACTCCTCCCCTAACAGACTCAGCCCTGCCCTCTATCCCTGCCTTTCCTTCTGCCTCCTCCCTTATCTACCTCGTAACTCCTGTGCCCCTGCAGTCCATCTTGCCCTCCCGCCCCATGGTTGGTCCCTACCTCTTAACATTTTGATGAAAGCCTTCCTGCCAAATGCCCTTCTCCCTCTCATTTTCCAGTCCATGTGGAAGAACGTGACTGTGATTAGGTTCAGCAGAGCTGCCAGGCCAGCTAGCATGCTGCCTTCTGGGTGGTGCCCATCCCGACCTAGTCTACCTGGAAACTTCTCCTTTCAGGACACACTTCCTTACCTACCTGTCTACTAGGAGAGTCTAAGTCCTATGAAGACAGAGCTGAGCCTACTTGCTTCTCCAGCATAACCTCAACGAAATTCCAGAGTCCTGCACAGGCCAAGTACTCAACGAATATTTGTTGGAGCAAAGTAAAATAACTATTTTTCAGTAGTAATTCTGGGGATACGGTATAGTTTAGATGTGGTTTTAAAAATTATGCCAAGAACATTTTTATTTGGCTTTAAATTCATTATCTTTAAAAAATTTCTGGACTATTCCAAATGTAAAGAAAAATATAGAGAATTATGTAACAGAGATCCCTTTACCCACTGCCAAGCTCTTGAATCTTCTGCTTTGAGCAAATCAGTGTTTTATTTTTAAGGTGTTTTTTTTTTTTATTTGAGAGAGAGAAAAAGAGAGAAAGAGAATAAGCAGAGGGGAGGGATAGAGGGAGAAGGAGAAGCAGACTCTCTGTTAAGCAGGGAGCTGGACATGGGGCTTGATCTCAGAACCCTGAGAGCATGACCTGAGCCTAAGGCAGAGGCTTAACCAATTGAGCCACCCAGGTGCCCCCAGTGTTTTATTTTTAAAGAAATAAAACATTACAGAACACTTGAAACTCCCTGTACACCTCTCCCCATCTTCTACTTCATCCCTCCCCAAGGGTAGAGGAAAGGATGTCTCTACTGTCCATCATGCCAATGCATTTTATAATACCACAACATATGTAGGTACTCACAAAATACATAATATTGTATTATTTGTTTTCAACAATATCTCTCTAAAACTTGCTAATGCTGCTTAATGCTATCTTTCTGAGATTTATCCACAATAATCAATTTTTATCTATGACACATGAAGTATTGTTCATTCATTTTACTAGTGAAGAGTATTCTATTCCATGACTATATCATTCTTACTTACCCACTCTTGCTGAAGGGCATTTAGATTGGACTTTTCCACTATTGCAATGGCCATTCTTGTGTGTGACTCCTTATGGCTCTGTACCAGAGCTACCCTAGGTATACCCGAGAAATGGAATTGCTGGGTATTAGTAAAGTAAAATGATCAGTTTTACTAGATATGGCCCAAATGTTCTCCAAAGCCCTTTTACCAATGTATATGTCTATTAGCAGCCTACGAGAGTGCTTGTTGCTAACCAACACAGGATTTTCAGACATTTTAACTTCTATTGACCCAATGAGGGTGAAATGGTATCTCATTTTATTTTCATATTCATTTTTCTGAGGTTGAACTTCTATTCATATGGATCCATTTGGGTTCTCTCCTTTATGAATTACCTGTATAGATCCTTTACCTATTTTTCTATGAACTTGTTCTGTTCTCTTATTAATTTGTAAATTTTAGATATTAATTTTGTCAATTATATCCAGTGATATAAATTCAAGACAAGGGTCATTATTTAGAGTAATCTCTTCAGCCAACAGTGAGATGAGCCCTCCATAGGCTTTTTAACCAAGCTTATAAATCCTGTGCTCAGTCAGGCTCTCTAGAAGTACCTAGTCCATTTTAACTCTCTGAGATGCTTCCTAATTCTGAAACACAGAATTAATGAATGAAGGTCATTACATTTTCAAGCCAATTTACCCTAATAGACTCTCGGGCCCCACTGAACATCAGCTATGCCACAGCACTGGGGAGATAAAACTAACAGTACAAGTTACACATGCCCGCCAAGAAGTGAGTCTTGGGCAGTGGTCAATGTGAAGTCTAAACTGCTCAGACATGATCTCTGAAGACCAGGCCAGTAACTCTCATAGCCACCAGAGCCAGATAGCGCTTGGGTTGGTAACCCCAGTGATCTACTCAGAGCTGCCCATGGGGGTAAAGCCAGCTACTCAAGAATGTTTTTGCTAAGAGCTGCATATTTGCATTTTCCTGAACTAAAACAAAAAAAAGACTACTGGGCTTTTTTTATATCCCCAATTTTAGACTATTTTGAGCTCTGATAATTCCCATAGAAAAGGTGTCAAGGTGTTTGTTTAGTGATGATTACATGAAGCCAAGTTCCTGATGCATTAACTAGTCTGGAAAAACAAACAATTCCTTAAGGGCACAGAATTCCAAGTAACCTGATTCAGAATGAGAAATGGCAATGTAAATAACACAGATTTGCTTTCATTACTGCAGCTCATATTATGGAAGTCGAATAAGCATAGATGATCACCATAATCATAAATCTAGCACAGTCTAGATGAATTTGGGTCACAAGGAATTTTGACAAATATATGGTTTGATTAGAAAATTTTCATATTTGAAAAAACCAGAATCCTGTTAGAATCTAAGAGGACTTAGAAATTCTAAACTAGGAATGCCTGGGTGGCTTAGTGGTTGAGCATCTGCCTTTGCCTCAGGGCGTGATCCCGGGGTCTTGGGATCGAGTCCCACATCAGGTTGCCTACAGGGAGCCTGCTTCTCCCTCTGCCTATGCCTCTGCCTCTCTCCTGTGTTTCTCATGAATAAATAAATAAATAATATTATAAAGAAGAAATTCTAAACTAAATACCCATCCTAAATACCATTAAAACTGATCCACACTGAAGAAACATGAATAAATACACATATCTTATGCCTATGGTTCCTCAGGCACAAACAGGACCCTGAGTTCTCCTAACTTTGAGGAAGCAGCCAGTTAAAATATCAAAGCAGATATAAGCAGGTACTTTTGAAGTTAACCACAATTTTTATCCCCGTTACCTTATCATTTAAACATTTTATCAGTTATGCTAAGGCTACATATAAAGTACTTTAAATGATGTATAAAAATATACCAAGTTCTTTAAAGGATTATTCCCTATTTTGAATAAAATTCAACCCAAACCATTTATTTTTTTACTATCTTTAAAATTTAAACTCAATTAATTAATATAGAGTGTATTATTAGTTTCAGGAAGTAGATAGAGTTCAGTGATTCATTAGTCTTATATAACACCCATTGCTCATTACATCACATTTATTTTTTTAAATATTTTTAAAATCTCTACACCCAATGTGGGGCTCGAACATGCAATCCTGAGATCAAGAGCTGCAGATTCCACTGAATGAGCAAACCTGATGCTTCCCAACCCAAACCTTTTAAATACTAGACTTACATCATAATTACATACAAGTTGTGTGCCTATTAAAAGAGGAGAGTATACATTTTCCTTATGGAAATTGGATATTTCAAAATAACAATATAAATTCAAATTTCTTCCTTCTTCCTTCTCTAAATAAAGGGCCAAACATCACACTGTTTTCCAGTTAATTATATAACATTCATTTTTACCTTAGTCTGATGTTATTTTCATCATTTACCCTAAAATTTAGCATTGTATTATTGAGGAAGTAATCAAGGCTTTTTTTGAGAGAAGGAATGATCTTGTGAATTTGTAGACAACATAAAATCAAATTTCCTCCCTAATTCCAAAATCTCAGTATGCAGAAAGTGGAATAAGCACCTTGCCATACATAGGATTTAACTTCTTTTTGAAGAACGAATGTTAACTGGCAACAGCATGACAAATGCTAACTTATGACAAGATTTTGGACTCAGATGGCACAATAAATTAACCATTAGCTATGACACCTGTATAAAATCTGAGGGTAACATCCTCAAGATAAAGAAAGGCATCCCTACAAAGACGTATGGAGAATTTAAACTATAACATTGACTATTGCTTGTCAATTTTGTAGGACTTTTTTTTTGTCAACTACTCATTGATGAAGGATCCTGAATAGATCAAAAGACAAGGGTGGTAACGATGTATTGATGTCACATTCCTTCCCTTGGAGATGTACAGGAGACTCATGAAAAAATCAGATCTGGGCAAGCTTTGGGATCATA